TCTCTTTAAACAGTTGTCGTTTTTGAAGACGTTGCTGTTTGAGTCTGTGGTTGCAATTTGAGAAGGACAAAATAAAAATGAGTTGTTTTTAAACTTGTTTTATTCTTTTTCTTCTTATTTTACAGTATATTCATGCAGTGTTTCCAAAATCTGTTGTTTTACCTGTTGTGAGCTGCCCTGGGTCCCCTATAGGGAGAAATGTGGCATATAAATAATTTGAATATATTTTTTTCCTTAAAAAAACAACCCCAATTAATAAACAAACAGATATACAGTGGCACCTTGAAGACTAACTGCTAATGTATTCAATTGCTGTATACTGTTGAGTACCTTATCTATTTATTTATTACATTTAATAAAATTTAATCTAGACCGAAGTCTACTTTGGGTGACTCAAGGGCTAAAACCTTCTTTTGTAGTTTCTTTCATTTTGTTTCTGTTGGAGATATTCCTTGGAACTTCTCCCATGGCTTGAAACCCCTCCTAGGGCTGTTGGAGGGTTTGGCGTGCCTTTTCTCCACCAAATTGCAGGGCAGGGAGGCGAACCTTGGACGAGGTGGGGAGCAGCCCATGAGAGCTTCTTGCCGAAATGAAACCCATTTATCTCTAAAGTCTGGTCCCAAAAGGCCTGGGGGGCCAAGGCATTGCAGGAAAGGTGTGGGGGGGCAGGAGGGAGGAGAAAAAGCTTGACAGCAGTCAGCTTAGCTTAGGGGCAGATGGTGGGGCAAGTGTTGGTGGCACCACCCTCGAAGGGGATTGACTCCCCCTAGCCAATGGCTGGGCTGGCTCTGCAGAGGAAGGAACTGCCGGGAGCGAAGACAGTGCGGTGGGATCGGCAGAGACAGAGGTGCCCCATTAAAGTATAGGGAGAACCAGTCCATTTAACTGCCTGCGTGTGTTCATGGACGAGTGCGTGTATAGGATTCATTCTGTCTCTTCCAAAGGATGGGGGAAGCCAAGACTGTTTTTTAAAAAATGAAGGAGTCCAGCCTTTGTTTTAAGGGAATCAGATGCAAATATCGACATGCCCTCGATTCTTGAGTGGGACGCGGGTGTCATTTTGCCTTAAAGCTCAGGATTTGATTTGTTGATTCCCAGTTAGTAAAATTACGGTGTGAGCTGGTGTGTAAACAACAACAACAACTAGTCCTGCATTTTATAGCCGCGTGCCTCCTGCATGAAGCTCTGAAGAGCCAGAGAACCAGAAATTATCAGGGAGAAACACCGTGAAGTGTGAAAAGCAAAGAGGAGTGTTTTGTTTTTGATTTTTTTTTGTTTTTGACACCCATTGTGATGACCATGTTTCTGCCACAGTGAGGTAGCCAGGCGTAGAAGCAGCGGAGGTTCACAAATCTGGAATCCTCGGGGAGGAAAACAAGATGACAAATTAATACTGAACAAAACAACACATTTACCGTGTTGATGCTTGCACATCCAGTGTCCGTTTTTTCACCCCAGAATTCAGCACCAGCACATCAAGCTGAGCAGATTATGTTCTGCAGACAATAATAACAAAAAAGCCCCATGTCAATTCTGTTCTGAAAAGTGTGTGCATATCGCAGAGGGGAAAAACATCCGTTACTGGGAGTTTATCTCGACACACCATGTGGATCAGAAAGGGGCTGGAGCAATGAAGGAGGCGGACAAATAAGAAAGGATTGAAGTGGGGTGGAGACGAGAAAAAGGCAGAATGCCTACGAGGAGAAGAAACTGGAAGAAGGGCTAAAAATGTAAGAAACGGCACAAGGTCCATGAAAGGTCTCTGCCTGGCCAGTTGGTGGCCATCAGGGAGCCACCGACAAGGACCCTGGCACCCTCCTACACCTTGCTTCCTAGGGACACTGGGATGAAAAAGCACCGGGAGGAGATACGGAGCTATCCAGACCAGCCGCTCTTGATGGCCCTGACCTCGGTGGATTTCTCCGACACCCTTTTAAAGCCCTTTAAACGGTTGGCCATATGCATATCTTGTGGCAGTGAATTCCACAGTTTATAATTATGTCCTGAGTGAAGAGGCCCTTCTTTTTGTCGCTGCCAGATCTTCCAACCTTCCGTTTCAGTGAATTTCTCCAGATTAGTGATGGGCACAAACCAGTTTGTCCCGGTTCGTAAAAGCTCCCCTTCCCCTGCCTCGGCCCCTCACCAGGACCAGCATGCTAGGCTTCCTGCCCCCCCTCACCGGATCGGCCGGTCCCTGCCTCTTCAGCCCCTGGATTGAGCCGCCTTGACGAACTGGGACGAACTTTGTTTGCCCATCTCTCTTCTAGATGCCAACAGAACCTGGACACAGAACGTGGAAACCTTAACGGGCATGGTGGGGGGGAATGGCGTGGCGTGGCATAGTGAATTCTGAGTGTGGTAGTCCTTAAGAAATGAAGGCTTCCAAGCTCTGGATTCTAATATTGCAGGAGAAGGAGACAGATGCCTACCTACGAACGTTCTCCACACCTTTTGGCCCATGTATACCCTTTTTCCCCTTACTTGGTCTTCTTCTCTATTAAAATGAAAAAAAAACCTCCAAACATCGTCACCACTTCCCAAAGAAGATTCCTTGCTTTTGTCCCTTTCCTTTTCTTGCCCTTTTCAGACTCCCTTTCCAGAGCAACTATCCTGTTTTCTCAGGGAGGCTGCCATGGGGCGGGGGGGCATTGGCTGCTATGCCTTCAAAAAAAGGAGGGGGAAAGGATTTGTGGATCCGTGGTCCATTGTCACATGTTTAGGTCGAATCCAGGAAAGAGGAGGAGGAGGAGGAGGAGGAGGAGGAGGAGGAAGAAGAAGAAGAAGAAGAAGAAGAAGAAGAAGAAGAAGAAGAAGAAGAAGAAGAAGAAGAAGAAGAAGAAGAAGAAGAAGAAGAAGAAGAAGAAGAAAAGAGCAAGCACCCATTGGGCAGAACCACAGTGAAGGACGGGGAGGACCTTGAGGAGACGCTAGAAGCCCTCAATGGCACTTTTCAGACAGGCGGCAGCAGCTGTTTGAAAGTGTGTTTGTGTGTTGTTTTTGCTGGAAGTGTGTCTGTTTCGAGCCGAATCCCTCTGCCCTTTAAACGGTGTGTGTGTGCGTGTGTGTGTGTGTGTGTGTGTGTGTGTGTGTGTGTGTGTGTGTGTGTGTGT